TGGGATGACAGTAATCCGTTTGTTATCTTGATAGAGTGAAGTTGTGTGTGGATCTCTAAAATGGCAGATCCGACCAAAGAAGGCAAACCTGAGATACTTGGGAGAAGGACTCCATATTACTTAGGGACAGAAATCAGGGGTGGGGAGAAGAGAGGGGAATTAAAACTGGTACAAGGTTTCTGCCCTGGAGATTGAGATACTTTTTGCCTTTAACAGAGATTAAGAAAGTGAGGTAAGAAAGAAGGTGCAGATTAGTTTGGACTTGAATTGGTCTCTGAACTCCAGCGTCCATAATTATTAAATAGGGGTTGTGCTTGCTCTTTCTGAGGAAATGAGATGATGTGAAAGCACTTTGAAATTTGAAAAGGGAAGGACTAGACAATTATGTTAATGATAACCTTTATTATTATTTTAATTATATTTAGATATATTCTGCCAGCAGTTAGAATAAAGACTTGAAGTGACATTTGGGATCTAAGTGGGATGAGGCGACTGAGGAAGTAGGCATCAATGGAGAGAGCTAGAGGGGTCAGCAAGTCTTTAGGGATGGGAGAGAAAATAGGGTTTATCAAAGAGTACTCTGTGAGAACTCCCCAGAGAAGGTTGGATAAGGCAGGGTGGTAGAAACCAAGACTGTGGAGGAGTTTTTGAAGCTGGAAATGTTCAGCAGTGTCAAATGCTACAGAGAGAGAGGCTGAGTAAGAAGAGGAATGATTAATTTGCATTGGATTTGGTAAACTTGAGTAACCTGTCTTAGTGGAGGGTGGGGGGTAGAGGTAGAGCCCAGACTCTATATTTTGGAGGGGTGGGTGAGAATAGGTGTTGAGATACTGGAAGAGAGGAAGTGATGGCCCAGGGTATCACCACAACTTAACAGCAAAGGGAAGATAGCTTGATAGATTTTTTTATACTATTATTCCAAAAAGGATTTGAGGGGAAAAATAGGGGAAGAATGATTGCCTGAGAATGTAATGGAGGGTGCAGGGAAGCTGGGGGTGTGGGGAGAGAGGAGACTCCTGAGGAGCTGTGACAAAGAGTGACATTCAAAGTCTAAGTGGACAGAGTAGCTTTACAGATTAGGTATGACTCTATTACACTTGATCTTAGCCAAGAGGCCGAGAAGCAATTGAAGCTAAGAGGAACTCTGATCCAATTCTCACAGCCGCTATTAGGATTGTTCCCTCCCCACCAACCGTCTTGCTTCTTTGTTTCTCCCTTGTACTCAGCCAGCAAGACTCCACCTTGGAGCAAGTCTCCTAATTCATCCTCTCCAGTTCTTTATCAGGGTCCTTGTGGATCGCTGGTGAAAATTATATGATTTTTTTGCTTGCCAATCCCTAAGAAGCTTTAGAGAGCTTCTCCCACTCCTTTTTCTTTTTCAAACCTTCCACCTCAATATCTTGCTCACTCTCAACAGAGGACCTTACTTTAGAAAAGGCCTTTCTTTTTCTCTAAGAAAACTGAGGCTGCAAAGTAGGGAGTTCCTTAACTTACTCTTTTGTGTTTATGTCCCTCTGACTCCCAGCTTTCCCTCCTTCCCCTCTCAGGAAAAGAGCTATTGGCTCCAGTTTCTTCAAGCTTTAGATCTGATCCCCCAGCTCACCATCTTCACCTGTATCTTTAAGCCCATAAACTTGCTCACACCTCTCCCATCTGAAAATCAAACCAAACAAAATCAAACCAAACCAAAATCAAACCAAACAAAAACCCTTGCTACCATCCTATCTTTTTCTCTTCACAGGCAAGCTTCCTGCAAAGATAAATCTGATTAGCTCACTTCTCTTCTGACTTCCCCCGCTCGCTCTCTAATCCGGTTTTTGCCCTTATCATTCCACAATGAATGAGTCATCAATTGAGCCCCAAGTGGACAAAACAAATTGGTCTTTCCCTTCCTCCTTTCTTTTGCCCTCCCTGAGCCACTTGATCTCCTGGCTGTCCCTTCTTTTTTTGGCTTCTCCTATAGGTCCCTCCTCTTTGCTACCAAATCTCGGCTCCACTTGAGTGCCATTTATTGGCTCCCTTTGGACTCTCATCCCCTAAATGCCTGAGTGGCTGGGTTTATTCTGTACTCTGTTCTTCCCATGCTGTGTGCTTTCCCTGGGTGAACTTATCTGCAATCACAGCTGCAATTACTAGGGGCTTATTGAAAACTCGCAAGACTCTAGCTCCTGTTCGGGCTTCTCTTCTGAGTTCTAGGCGCATATGCCTAAATGCCCACTGGACACCTCCACTTAGATGTCCCTCAGGTCCCTCAGACTCAGCCTCATCCTAACAGAATTCATATCTTTTCAGCCAAGCTTCTTCCCATGGATTCTTTGTGAATATTGTCAGCATCCGGGATCCTAGTCTCTTTTCCCCATTTCTAGTCAGTTGTCAGTAATAGTAAGATGAAGGAATTTTTGTGCCCTAGATTCCCAAGGAAGTTGAGGGATGCAGATTGGCTTGGTAGGGCTGTACTCCCAAAGAGAGGCCGTGGATTGAGGAGCTACATACACTGGGGAGAACCATGTGGTAGGAATGGCAATTAGGGAGCTGGCCCAGTGAGGGAAGGGTAGCTATGGATGATGCTTCCAATCCTGGGTAAACTTAATTGAGCATCACTAAGTGCTGAGGTATTTGGAGTTCTTGAAGAAAAAGGACCAAAGCTTGCATATACCCAAACAGATCTGAAAAGAAATACTTCAGAGAGGAATGGGGACAGAGAGAAGCCCAACACAGTAAGATTCGGAAATGGGAAGGCCAAATGTACGTAGATCTCTTAAGGGTAAGGAGACCCGGAGTGAGTATGGGTTATAGTTGCTCCATTTACAGGTTCTACCTCTGTAATGTCTCCAACCCGATCCTCTTTTTCTTAGTATCTTCTAGGCTTCTGCCCACCCCCAAGTCTTGTTTAATCTTACTAATCCATTGGCTCTTTTAACTTTTGTATATCCAGGTAAAAATTCCTTTGCTTCTTACACAAGGTCCTTCAGGATATGGTCCCTGTTTACTATCCAGCTCCTTCTCCTGCTACTGACTACAAATTCTTTTTGCTTCAGCCACATGAAAGTTCTTCCAGCCCTTTAAAAGCATCACACCTTCCTATAGTGGTTCCATGTGCCTGTGCTTGGAATATCCGTCTCACCCTCTCCTCTCTAAACTCATTCATTCTGCCATTTCTACTTTTCCTTCAATACTAAGCTCAAGTACCATTTCCCAGAAGTCTTTTACACCCCCAATCTGATTTTCTCTGGGCTTTCGTGGCAGCCTACACATAACATAAAAATACCCTTTACTACATCTCACTGTAATCGGTTAACTTGCTTCTTATCCTTCGTAGACTGGGTACTTTATGAAGGCAGATCTCAGTCTAGCCGGCTGTCCCCAATATTTAGCTCATAAACAGCAGCTGGTATTTCTAAATGAATAAATAAAAAGTTATCAACCATGAAAGTTTTAAAGTTTAAGCAGTAGGATATTTAAAAGAAACTTTTTAACATTTAAACAGCAGGCCATTTAACTGTCATTTCACATGCTGGTTATCTTGTTCCTGAAGGTGAGTGCAATAATGCTGGCCCATTTGCCAGTGGGAAGATCTGGACATTTAAAAGTGCTTCTCCAGGAGCTATCATCAGCCTAGAGACGGATCTCAAGCAGCCTGTCATCTACAGAACCCACCAGATCAGCGTCCTGTTCCTGGCTTTCACCTACAGGGTGCCTATAGCCACTGAAAGAGGTATGCGGATAGACATACTTAAGGTAATCTCTCCTTGTCTTTAGGTTAAGGAGTGCATGGGGTGGGTATGTCGGTCGATGTGGGTGTGTTTTTGTGTGTGTGCGTGCACGCGCGCGCACCGTGGATGGGGGAAGGAGGAAGGAGGCAATGTGTGCATCGCTTCTGCAGAGACGCCTTCCCTGACCTTCCTGACTAGCTGACGTTCGCCTCGCCACCCTCAGAGCACCTTATTCTCCGTCTCTGCACCGATCGCAGCGTGACTTGCATTCGTGTGGTTAGTGCCCGTCCCCCCGCTAGATCGTACACTGCGCTCGGTAAGGAACCTCCTACGTTCCTGTTCACCCCTGCAATCCCCCCGCCCAGTAGGATGCCAGATATTCCACGAATATGTCTTCGACGAGCGTTTCTGGGCCCGACTGCAGGTACCGACCGCCCCGGGGCGGCCTCGGACGGCTCCCGCGCCGCGACCCCACCGGGGACTAAACCCCCGCCCACCAGCGGCCTGGCGAGGCGGGGCGAGGCGAGGCGGGGCGGGCGGGGCGGGCAGGGCGCGGCAGGCGGCGCGCGGCGGGGCGCCCTCGCGCGGAAGGTCCTCCCGCTCCCGTGGGCGCGGCCCGGAGAGGGGGAGAGCGGGGAGCGGGCGGGCGCGCCGCGCGGCCGCGGATGCGCCAATGAGCGCCGGCCGGGCGGGGCTCGCAGCCGACTGCCCGGGAGCGCGCGGGGCTGGGCGTGCCCACGGGTGACGCGCCGGGCCGGACCCGCCAATAGGCGCACGGTGGCGGGCGGGCGGGCCTCGCGGCCGGGGGCTGGAGGACGCTAAGCGGAGGCCGGCCGGGCAGACGGACGCTCGGCCCCAGCGACGGAGGCGCGCGGCGGGGATGGCGCTGGCGCGGGCCTGGAAACAAATGTCCTGGTTCTACTACCAGTATCTGCTGGTCACGGCGCTCTACATGCTGGAGCCCTGGGAGCGGACTGTGTTCAGTATCCTGCCCAGGCCGCGGGGGCCGGGGTGGGGAGCGGGAGCCCGGGCCCAGGCGCCGGGGGTGGAGGGGTGGAGGCTGGGGCTGAGGGCGGCCCTGCAGGCACGGCGCGCGCGCGCTGACTCGCCTCTTCGCTGCGGGCACGCGGGCGGAGGTCTCGGGCCGAGGGCGGGCTCCCGCGGGTGGGGAGAATGGGGGGCTAGAACTCTGGAGATCCGAGGGGGCCTGTGAGCCGCTGGAGCGGAGGTGGAAGCGGCTTTGCTGTCGGAGGAAATCCCCTGGGGCGATGTCTAACCAGGTTTGTCCTCTCTCGCACTTCGGCCGCGCCTGCCTTTGGTTCAGTCCCCTGGTCTTTGGGAGGCAGGGGCCGTGTTAAGTGGAGCAGATCGTTCCCGGCTGGGACGCCTTTGACCTTTAACTGTCCCTGAGTTAGCTGACTTTGGTCCTAATGAGAATGCTAACCGGTTTACCAGACTTTTAATCATGTGAGCTTGTGTTTGTGACACCCCAGTATAGTTTTTGAAAACAGTTTGTTGTACCTTTTTGGTTTTCGGGATGGGGAGTTTAGAGACTGTGTTTTATTCATTAAGTTGCTGTTTTCACAGTCCATAGAAGTCGAGCCAAGAAAGGAATTTGTGGTTAATTATAGACAGGGTTTGAAACTGTGTTTTCATAGATAGCTGATAGATACTTGTTAATGATACTGAAGGTTCACTATGAGCCAAGCAATTGTGCTAGCGTTTTGCCTGTACCTCAACTCATCTTAACTTCATAACAACCTCACTGAATACGCAAGGTTGTGGAAATAGGCTTTCTGAAGTCTGTGATGTTTGTGTCATTTGTCTGTGTTGACATCCCTTGATATTCTTGCAGAATACATACTAATAATGAGCTGTAACTTTCTTCTTCTTTTTTAATTTGGGGGCCAATATGGAACATTTCACACAACATGCTTACTTCATACAGGCTCCACCCTTTTCTTTAAATTGAAGTGTAGTTAACACAATGTTACTTTAGTTTTTTTTTTTTTTTTAAGATTTTATTTATTTATTTGACAGAGAGCGAGAGAGGGAACACAAGCAGGGGGGAGTGGGAGAGGGAGAAGCAGGCTTCCCGCGGAGCAGGGAGCCCGATGCGGGGCTCGATGCGGGGCTCGATCCCAGGACCCTGAGATCATGACCTGAGCGAAGGCAGACACTTAACGACTGAGCCACCCAGGCGCCCCAGTGTTACTTTAGTTTTAGGTATACAACAGTGATTTGACAACACGGTATGTTACACGGCCTCCTTTTCAATGTGGTTTAGTTTGGAGTAGCTTCAGAACAGCTTTGCAAATGCATTGTTGCATTCAGGTGGAGTGACTGAGATGATTTCATTCCAAGCATTAATAAGTGTGTTTATTTGTATTGAACTAGCATAAGATTGTACTCAAAGCTGTTTTTTGTTTCAACACTTTGGAGGAATCTTAAGCTGCTTACAAGGAAATTTATTTATTTTTATTATTTGTTTCCAAAGCTTTCCAGAACTTAAGAACCATAATTCGTATTTTGGTTTTAAAGTCTGAATGTAAAGTATGTTCTGAATTCCTGCACCATTTATTTGTAGTTGCAGTTCTATAGGTTAGAGCTCATGAAGTTATCTTTCTAAAATGTATACTAAAATATAGAAGCACATATTCTTGACTCAGTTAAAATCATATTTTTTAAAGGGGGGAGGGGCAGAGGGAGAGGGAGACTTTTTTCTTTTTTAAAGATTTTACTTATTTATTTGAGAGAGAGAACGAGCGCACAAAGGGAGAGTGAGAGGGAGAAACAGACTCCCCTTTGAGCAGAGAGCTTGATGTGGTACTTGATCCCAGGACCCTGAGATCATGACCTGAGCTGAAGGCAGACACTTTAAGCGTTAGAGCCACCCAGGCACCTGAGAGAGAGTCTTTTTTTTTTTTTTAAGATTTTATTTATTTATTTGACAGAGAAACAGCGAGAGAGGGAACACAAGCAGGGGGAGTGGGAGAGGGAGAAGCAGGCTTCCCGCCGAGCAGGGAGCCCGAGGCGGGACTCGATCTAGGACCCTGGGATCATGACCTGAGCTGAAGGCAGATGCTCAACTGACTGAACCACCCAAGCGTCCCAAAGATTTTATTTATTTGTCAGAGAGAGAGAGAGAGAGAGAGAGCTTGAGCACAAGCAGGGGGAATGGTAGATGGAGGGAGAAGCAGGCTCCCTGCTGATCAAGGAACCCGATGTGGGGCTCGATTCCAGGACCCTGGGATTACGACCTGAGCTGAAGGCAGACACTTAACCAACTGAGCCACTCAGGTGTCCCCTTTTTTCTTTTTAAAAAAATATGTGTATTTATTTACTTAAGTAATCTTTACACCCAACGTGGGGCTCAAACTCACAACCCTGAGATCAAGAGCTACATGCTCTTCCAACTGAGCCAGCCAGGTGTCCCTCAGTTAAAATCATCTTAAAAGTGAATTTAAACAATGTTGCACTAAATTGACACTCTTTATGTCAGAAGTTGAATGTAGAGTCCACTGCCAGTCTATTAAATCTGTTACACTGAAAAGCTTTTGTTTGCATGTGGATACATGCTACAGTGTCGATGGTATTAAGGTTTTTCTGTACTACATAGTAATAGTAACAGTGTCCTTTAAATAACCTAGATGATGGCTTTTTTGGGGGGATGGAGGAATAAATTATGTACTGAAATTTAGTGCTTCTATAGATTTTTCCTTTTGAAGCTTTTGACTTGTCGTTGGTTTATGTGACCAAGTGATTTCAGTTTTTAAGAAACTAGTGAGAACAGCAACCAACTAGCATTGGGTCCTATAGAATCCTATGGTTTTAAACCTAAGATTAAAAAAAAAAGTTATTTCAAGGATCACATGATTGAATTAACCCAAGGTAGAAATGTAATCCTTTTGACATAAGACGATCTTAAATTACTATAAGCTGTTATATTATTCTAACAACTTCTAGAGTTAAAGTCAGGCATTTATTATTGTATAGTTTGAAACATCTATTTGGGATGAATCTGTATTCTAGCTTGGAGGAAGGAACTGAATGAGAAAGCTGGATTCCCCCCCACTCATTAGGAGCTTTAATTACTGCAAAGTAGTTTGAATTTCATAAATTTGTTAATAATTAGTAAGCTTCACATAGAACAATTTTGTGGCTAGTTACATGGTTTTGGGAAAGAGACATACTTTCTTAAAAATAACATTGAATATGGTTATCACTGTTAGCAACCTTAAATTTCATGTAAGAAAAATTTGTCTGGCTATCTGAGAAATGGTCTCTGAGTTAGAAGGTCCTAAGAGAAAGACTCTAGAAGAAGGTAATCGCTGCTATAACTCCTTTAATAAATTGAAGTCCCTGTTTTAGAGAACACCGATAGCTCGCTATTAACTACTTCTGCACATTTTCTAGGGGATCCTTGAACATCTGAATTTGCTTCTCTGTTTCTCCAGATCAAATAGCTACAAGTTAATTATCAGTTGTTGTGAATTGAAAGGTCAATCCCAGTTGAATATGAGGGTTTTTGAAATTAAGTAAGGAAATTGTGAGTCAAAAAAATTATTTTCAGTATGTTTTTAAGGAAATGCATCTGTGTCAAGTCAGGCACACTGTAAATGGTTCTTGGAACAGCAAGATTTAAAAATCCGTTTTGTAAATCCTTCCATGCTAGGGCCCATATCCTATTTTTTTCTCTTATCATCTGCTTTCTGTTACCACATTTGAAATGATACATTAGCTTTTTTTTTTTTTAAAGATTTATTTATTTATTTGACAGAGAGAGAGATAGAGAGAGCAGGAACACAAGCAGCGGGAGTGGGAGAAGCAGGCTTCCCGCCAAGCAGGGAGCCCGATTCGGGGCTCGATCCCAGGACCCTGGGATCATGACCTGAGCTGAAGGCAGTCGCTTAACGACTGAGCCACCCAGGCGCCCTGATACATTAGCTTTTGCTTTGCAGCCAGTATTTGAACTTTTTCCATGTGCAGACATGGTTTCTATAGTGCAGGAAAAGGGGATGTGACACGTGATCAAAACAGAAGGCAGCAATAAAGTGAAATCAAATAAGTGGAGTAGTATTACAGTGAGTGCTGCAGCAGACCTGTGCAGACTGAAATCCATTGAACTCTTTGCTCCAGAGTAGAAGTTGTAACACGTTTCTAAAGCCCCCTTTCCCTACTGGCAGCCATCAGTGGGAAAGGAGACCAGGTTTTGTAACCAAGACAGGTTTTGTAACCAGTGAGACACTCCCTGTAGTGCCTCACTGAGTAACATTGTAACCATGCTATTCAGGAGAGGTGTGGAAAAATGAAAAATACCTTGTTAAGATATTTGAAGCAGGGGCGCTTGGGTGGCTCAGTCCTTAGGCGACTGCCTTCGGCTCAGGTCATGATCCCAGGGTCCTGGGATTGAGCCCCGCATTGGGCTCCCTGCTCAGCGGGAAGCCTGCTTTTCCCTCTCCCACTCCCCCTGCTTGTGTTCCTTCTCCCGCTTTGTCTCTCTATGTCAAATAAATACATAAAATCTCAAAAAAAAAAAAAAAGATTCTTTGAAGCATAAGTAAGAGATTAACCTTTAAAAATTAAATTTATTCTGTAGTCACTGAGCTATATTTGCTATCTCTCTATGGCTTCTTATGTTTCCATGGCATTTTATACTTCTATTTATTTTAAGCAAAATGTAGGCAATTTTTGTTTTTTGTTAGGAATTAGATTCTCCCTGAAAGACAGTCTATGTTTATTTGTTTCTTCAAGGAAATTAAAAAAAATTTATTTTTTTGGGGAGAGAGAGAGCACGTGTGCACACACACACCAGTGGGGGGTGGGGTAGGGCTGAGGCTGAGGGAGAGGGAGAGAGAGAATCTCAAGCTCAGTGTGGAGCTCCATGCGGGGCTCGATCCCAGGACCCCGGGATCATGACCTGAGCTGAAGTCAGACGCTTAACCGACTGAGCCACCCAGGTGTCCCAGGAAAGAATTATTTTAAGACCACAGTGCTGGACACAGATAGTGCTTGAGAAACATTTGTTTGTTTATTGATTTGTCATTTCAAAGGAACTGCAGAAGTATTGGGGAATGGTAAAAGAGACCTGATTTTAAACTACTTTTAGGGTAGCTTTGGAACTTGGCCGTTCCTGATGAACAGAATTCAGTTCTTAGAATTCAGATTTTAAGAAGTAGAAAATGCTATAGGTTGAAAGAACTTCTTTGATTTATTTTAACAGATGTTAACAAAATTGGCATTTTTATGTCTACTCATTTGTAAAATATGCATGCTTGCTGAATTCTGCATTTCACAAATATTAGGTACTTCCTAATTGCCAGATACTATTCTAGATAGTGGGGGTATGACTGAACAAAACAGATAAAAATATTTATTCTAATGCCACTAGATAGGTTAAAAATACAGACTATTAGATTGTTTTAGCTGTTGCGGAAAAAAATAAAACAAGAGGATAGGAAGTAAGGAAGAATGAGTGTTTTTCAATTTTAGCTAGAGTGGTCAGGAAGGGCATTTAGAAAGATTTAAGCAGGGAGAGAATTCCGGGAGAATGAGCATTGTAGGCAGAAGGGACAGTAAATATGAATGCCCGAAAGCATTTCTGACCAGCATGTCTGTCCTGTTTCACAGATAGCCCACAGGCCAGTGTGGCTGGGGCAGAGTGAAGGAGGGTATCCACCTAGTAGGAGAGAAGATCAGATCCTGTAGGATCTCCTAGGCATTGGATTCAGAGTTCAGGAGATAGGGGAGGTACTCATACCTTTTGAGTAGAGTCACTCAAATCCAGTAAGAATTTTCTCATTGATATTTTAATATTTAATAAACTAGGAAAATAAGCCACAAAAACATACATTTCTCCATGAGACTTGAAGTTCTTTTCATTTTGAATGGAAAAAAAAAAATTACAACCTGGAAGTGTTTTGTTTTGTTTTTTTTTCATTTTTAACATACTGAGTTCTAGAACAAGTTTTCAAGAAGATAGACTTCAAGGAAATTAGAGCCAGGTTTTAGGGAAAATTGGGATTTATACATGTTCTCAGATGGATCCACCCTGGGGTCATTGCAGTAGAGTGAGCTGGGCAAAAAGTGCCTTCCTTGGGACACAGGGCAGGAAGAACACGGGCACTGGGAGTGCTCAGAGAACTTTCAGGGAGGTATTTGAGTGTTTTGGTTTTTTTGTTTTGTTTTTGTTCCCCCCCCGTGGGAAGAAGGTGTGGACTGGGGTGCAGAGGTGTGCTGGGATGATGAGGATGCCAGGCTGACTGCCTGGAACAGGGATTCTTCAAGGCAGTTTGGGTGTGAAATAAAGTTGAAGAAACAGGTTAGGGCCATTTATTAATTCACCAGATACTTCTGTGTGCACACCTGGTACCAGATGCTGGCTTAGGTGCTTGCAGTAAATCTGAGCAAATGAGACAAAGATCCTTGTCCTTGTGGAACTTTTATAATTGAATTATATAGTATGCTAGGTGGTAAGCATTATGGAAAACAGAAAAGTAGGTCAGTGCACATTTCTTATCCCACTGACCTACTTTTCTGTTTTACATAATGCTGTTTTTAAAGAGGATATTGGGAGAGGCTCTGTTGAGAAGGGATATTTGAGTAAAACATAAAGGAAGTGATGGAGTTAGCCGGGTAGAAATCTGAGGGAAGAGCATAGCTGGCAGAGGGAACAGCCAGTGCAAAGTTCCTGAGTCCAGAGCCTGCCTGGCATGTGTGAAGGCCACCACTGAGGCAGGTATGATTGGAGCAGTAGGTGATGAGGTCAGAGTCAGTGAGATCCTGGAGGATTTTTTTTTTTTTTTAATTTTATTTATTTGAGGGGGAGAGAGAGAGCATGCGTGTGCGCATGGGGGGTGAGGGGCTGAGGGAGAGGGAAGAAGACTTCGCTGAGCTGCGAGTCCGATTTGGGGCTCGATCTCAGGACCCTGAGCTAATGACCTGAGCTGAAGGCAGACGCTTACCCGATTGAGCCACCCAGGCGCCCCTTGGCTTTTAATCTTAGTTGAAAAGGATGCCCTTGGAAGGTTTTTGAGAGAGGAGTGATCTGATCTGGTTTTAAGTTTGAAAAAGTTTACTTTGGCTGCAGATTTGGGATAGTTTAAGGGTGGTGAGCGGAGGCAAGGGTAGAAGCAAAGGTAGGTATTTTGGATTGAGGTAGGCTTTGCATGATAATGAAAACAAGAGCATTACAAAATTCATGGTGTATGCTATTTCAGTAGCAGCTAAATTAATTAATTTTCTTAGATTTCTGCTGTATCCTCAAGTGCTCACAGCTAGAATTGAGAATTTTTCTTTGCATCTCAATATACTAAAATATTTAAGACTGAATTCTTAAATAAAAATAGATTACACATCCTCATGGTTCAAAACTCAAAAGGCACCAAAGAGGTAGCTGGTCAAAGTCTTCTTTCCACCCCAGCCACGCCGGGACAACCAGTGTCACCAGTTTCCTGCGCCTCTCTCCTGAAGCATCTGTGAACACCTGGAAAAGGCTCTTGATCCATGTTTAGTAGTGCCCGGTTTGGCGAAACCAGAGTTTTTATAAGGCAGTAGAGAGGTGTTTGAGGAATGTATTTTGCTATGCCACTTCTGGAGGTATTAATAATTAAGTTAGTATCTCTTTCTGTGTATTTCCTATGTAACATATTTTTGTAAATAAACACAACAAACAAAACAAAATTGACTAATAAGAACCCTATATTTTGGCCCGGGGGTTTGGGGGAGTGGGGGGGTGGGGACCTTTAGATCACTTTCTCTGTCTTTGGCAGAGCTTCCTCTGAGCTCTTCAGTAGAAGGATTACCATAAAAACTCCATTTCACCAGTCTTCCACTAGAACTTTCTTCTTAATGAGTGCCTCTTGAAGAAAATGTACATACAGAATTCTTTGACACTTTAAATAGAGTTCCAGTAAAAATCAGCATGTGGTTTGATGATTCGGCAAAATTCCTAATATCAGAGAAAGTTACTTCTAGAAAAATATTCTTAGCAAATCAGCTTAACAAATATGATTTCAGAATAATGTTGAAATAACCTGAACATTGCCTTCAAACTTAAGAAAAAAATAATTTCTCCTCAATAATCTTCAGTCTTCTATATTTCATGCCATTTCCTTTTGAACTTCCTTTTGTAGAAATGAATGCAGTCTCTGTTACAAGGGAGGGATGAAGGTGGGGGGGGAAGCAGAGGTAAGAATAATTGTAACTGAGAAATTAAAACTTGCAAGCCCCCCCCCCCCAGAGGTACTCAGACGTTTTGTTTGTGTAGCCCCTCCAAGAACAAAAAGCATGTTATGTTGGCGAACATCTTGTTCATTTAAGTTAACATCAGAAATATTTCATAGTAAATTTAGACAGTTAAAAGGATTTCACTCTTTGCTTATGTGTATTTTATTATTGCGTATTTTTGTTAAAACCTTAAAGCTGTTTTTTCTTGTACAATTCTTAGAAAATGTTCATCACATACCCTAATTGGCAAAGCCAGCCCTCATTGTGAAGCCAAATAGGCAAAGCCAACCTTAATTCCTGAAAAGTTCAGTGCCATTTTTCTGCTCAAAAAATTGTTACATAAACACTTTTAATCCAGTCTCCCCCCCCACTTTTTTTTTTTTTTTTAATTTATGACTTGATTTGACAATCATTGGTTAGTTCTCATCCATATTGACTGTGGATTTTTGTAAGTGGTAACAGGTACATAGATAACCAATGTATTAAGCTTGTTTGGTGAATCTTCATCCTCACTGTTCCCTGGACCCCCACACATGGGTATGCTGCGGGACGTTTCTCACTCCTTTGACTCAGACAGCTTTGTTGAGCCTGATCTCAGTCTGCACGTGTGGAGTTCCATCTTGTTCGTGGCTAATTTCCAGATTTTTTTTGAGTGCCTGAAGGGTATGCTTCTTGAAGCCCATTCCATGAGTGCACTTGTAACTGTTGACAGTGTATTTTCTGGTCACTACCTCACTGATGGCAAAAGGCCCTTCTTCTCGCCATCCTTCTTTGTAGGAGTCATTCTGTCAGACCCAGGCTGGAAAGGTGTCTCACTTCTGAATTTAAGTTATTAGATGAATAGATAGGTGAGGCTTGTAGCTGTGCCAGGAGTTTATTACCTGAATGCAATAAAGTGCAACTCAAGTTCGTTATTATTCCTTTGTTTGCTGTCCCAGAAGTTATTTTATACCCCGGGGAAATGCATAATTGTAAGATTCAGGAAGTAAAGTGGGAGAAATGAAGTTGTACGGGGTCTGGGAAGGGAAACTAGCCGATGACCGTAATTGTCAGATCAGTTTTAGGAGAGGGTATATTGGTAGCTGAAGCTCTGTAAACCCTTCCCCTGACCCCATCCGAACCTTCTGGAACGTCTTCTTTGTCTATCTGAGGCTCATGGGCTTTAGTTCAAAGACAGCTGCTCTAGCCTGTTTTACCCTGTCTTGATGTTTGGTGGGCTAAGTGAAAAAGTTAGAATAGCCCTTATCTATACTCCTTAGGATATTTAATTTCTTCTTTAGTAGCTTTCAGGAAAGGTGGAAGATGAAGAAAATGCTACACAAGAACTGAGTGGTCTGTAAAAGGATGGGCAGGGGAAGTCGCACAAGGTTGGCAGTGGGACGGAACACACAGATTCTGCAGTGTTTCAGCATGTGGTACCAGTGATTTGTCAGTAGAGGGGACTGTGGCTCATTATATATATATTTAATTAATTAATTAATTTTTAAGTAAGCTCTATGCCCAGTGTGGTGCTTGAATTTGTGACTCTGATAAAGTCACATGCTCTACAGAAGGAGCCAGCCAGGCGCCCCTTCCACTACTTCACATTCTTTTTTTTGGTAAATTTTTTTTTAAAGATTTTATTTATATATTTGAGAGAGAGAGAATGAGATAGAGAGCATGAGAGGGGGGAGGGTCAGAGAGAGGCAGACTCCCCGCCGAGCAGGGAGCCCGACGTGGGACTCGATCCCGGGACTCCAGGATCATGACCTGAGCCGAAGGCAGTCGCTTAACCAACTGAGCCACCCAGGTGCCCCCACTACTTCACATTCTTAAAGACTTTGTGACCCACTCCACCCCCTAGGCTTTGAGTGTTGTAACATTTATTGTACTTAGGAGCAAAGATAAGATAGATTCTTGGCTTAAAAAAAAAAAAAACTCCAATGTTCAAATTTAATAATTAAAACTATATGTTCCAGAAGATCTACTTAAGCATATATTCTTTTCATAAATTGAAATGCTTAAAAAATAGTAGTTAAGAAATGATAGATATTATTTATGATCAGTAGCTATGAAAAGTAGAATTACTACTAAAACAAGACTTCTGGCCCTCATGTGTGCCTGGAAAATCCCCAAATAACAGGATTTATGGGAAAAGAGCTAGAGCAGACCATCAAAATCAGTGCAACTTAGTCACCAAGCACTAACCAAAACAATAATTGGCATCTTGGGGGATAACTTGGATAGCCCAGGCAGGCAGGCTGGAGGCTGCCTCAGGGGACATTAAAAATGTCTGGACCGAATTGACTGGAAATGCTTCGGTAGGGCAGATGGTGTGGGCTGCCATTGAGGAGGTGCAGGAGGGCTGTGCTGGTCAGGAGGTGTGCCTTTCTGGAGAGGGAGCCTGGCTGCAGATGCTGACTGAATTTTCTTAAGATAGAGCTCAAAGGATTCCTGTCTGTGCAGCAACCGAGCTAAAAGATGTTTCTTGAAGAAGATTATAATTCTCCCACTAATCTGGCTCCCCTAATTTATGAAAAATCCCATAGGAAACAATGCAGCTCCTATGCTATACTAGTGTGAGCTAGTATGATGTGAGCTAGCTGATGTCGCAGAGATGTATTACAGCAGAACAGATTAGATTTCAGAACAGGCTGGGATTCTCCCCCCTCCATCTCCCCCGACCCTGGGGCTTCAAATCTGCCTGAAATTAATAGACACTTTAATTATAAAGGTGCACAGTGAAACGTAGCCTTGGTGTCTCTGGACTCAGAGCTGCAAACCAGCTCCAGGACTGGTTCGGAGTTGAACATGATCATTAGTGGTTTCAGCAGCATGCTTTTTTGTTTGTTTAGTTTTTAAAGAGTTTGTCATCAAATTGTAGCTTCTAAAATGAATTTCTATACTTTGGTATAATCAACACACTACAGAAAGGCTGGAGAATGTGTTTTGCTTGCTAAACACTAACTTCTGATGCTGAGGTGATGTCCTTTAATATGACCCACAAATACCAAATTAGTTAATATATACAGACTGTAACAGTATCAATATCTTCTACTTGCTTTCATTTTAAGTATCAAGAGATAGTTGATATGTTTGGTAACAATATACTTTCTTAATACTTCTCTTGGTGATGATTTTTTTTTTTTTTACTAAGTTTTTAATTTTATTTGAGTATAGTTAACATACAGTGTTACATTAGTTTCTGGCCTACAATATAGTGATTCAGTAATTCTACACATTACTCAATGCTCATCATGATAAATGTACTCATTTTAAGATTTTGTTTATTTATTGAGAGAGAGTGAGAGAGAGTGTGTGTGATTGGGGGTGGGGGGGAGGGAGAGAGAATCCCAAGCAGATTCTGCTCTGAGCATGGAGCCCGACGTGGGACTTGATCGCATGACCCCGAGACCACGACCTGAGCTGAAACCAAGAGTTGGCCAACTGATTGAGCTGCCCAGGTGCCCCAATAAATGTACTCGTTAACCCCTATCACCTATTTCACCCATCCCCCACCCACCTCCTCTCTGGTAACCATCAGTTTGCTCTCTGTAGTTAAGGGTCTATTTCTTGGTTTGTCTCTCTCCCCTTTTTTGTTACTCTCCTTTGCTCGTTTGATTTCTTAAATTCCACCAATGAGTGAAATCATACAGTATTTGTCTTTCTCTGATTTGCTTATTTCACTTAGCATTATACTCTCTAGCTCTACCCATGTTGCAAATGGCTAGATTTCATTCTTTTTTTTATGGCTGAATAATATTCCATTATATATGTGTGTGTGTGTGTGTATGCATACACACATATATACGTACATGTCCATACACACACATGCACATACCCCACATCTTCTTTATCTGTTCATCTGTCAATGGACACTTGGGCTGCTTCCAGAATTTGGCGATTGTAAATAATGCTGCAGTAAATGTAGGGGTGCATATATCCCTTTGAATTAGTGTTTTTATATTTTTTGGGTAAATTCCCCGTAGTGCAATTACTGTATCATAGGGTACTTCCATTTTTAACTTTTTGAGGAATCTCCATACTGTCTTCCACAGTGGCTGTACCAGTTTGCATTCCCACCAACGGTGCACAAGTGTTCCTGTTTCTCCACATCCTCGCCAACACTTGTTTCTTGTGTTTTTGATTTTAGCCATTTTGACAGGTGTGAAATGATATCTCGTTGTAGTTTTGATTTGTGTTTCCCCGATCATGAATGATTTTGAGTGTCTTTTCATGTGTCTGTTGGCCATCTGTATGTCTTTGGAGAAATGTCTGTTCATGTCTTCTGCCCATTTTTTAATTGGATTATTTGTTTTTTGGGTGTTGGATTGTCTAAGATGATCCCCAGTTTTTTGAGGTCAAGGGAAAAAAAATCACAGTAGTAAGGAAGATTTCCTTTTTAGAGCTTTATTCAGTAGTTGACAATTGTTTTCACTTAGGGTTTTGATTGCTTTTCACAAAACAACCTATAATAATACTTTATCAAATGATTTTCCTTTTTTTTTATTAAGATGGTTCCTTAAATTAGATTTATCAGAACTTTTGAGTATTTCTAAGGATAAAAGTAACATTCAGAATTGACTTTACAAAAGAAATTTGACGAATAGAAGATTGGATTATTTTAAGTGACGTTTTAGCTTTTGTTTTTTGAGTGAACAGTGCAATCAGAGACTTAAAGCTTGAAATTATTTATTTATTAATTTTTTTTTCTAAATTTATTTGACAGAGATACAGTGAGAGAGGGAACATAAGCAGGGGGAGCGGGAGAGCCACCCAGGTGCCCCAGCATTGAAATTATTTAGATTAGTGAAGAGGTGTAAGTCATACCTGCTGGAACAAAGGTCCCTGGCCTTTTTCCAATGAGAAACTACTTTTGATTTCTCCAGAGTGTTGCTTTGGAGGTTACTAAGGTAGGCGGTGATAGTGCAGTTACTGATTGGGACAGAAAGTGTTAGTTACTGTGGTCTTGCTTCTGAGTACTGTACTTATCTTTAAAGCATTTCCTCTCTTTGTTGTCAGGACCTTTTTTTTTTTTTTTTTAAGTTGCTGGGGAAAGGGTTGGGGATGGCCCTTGTATGGGCAAAAGAAATCTTTTTATTTTTTCCTATCTAGCCGGAAACTTACCAGCTCATGATTAGTTGGGGATCCCTGTTAAAGAAACAGCAAACTTACAGATATATGGTTTCACATTTGCTTTTAAATTCATTTGCTTTTAAATCCATGGAACCAGGGAAGCCTGGGTGGCTCAGTCGGTTAAGCCTCTGCCTTCAGCTCAGGTCATGATCCCAGGGTCCTGGGATTGAGTCCCACATCGGGCTCCTTGCTCAGCAAGGAGCCTGCTTCTCCCTCTGCCTGACTCTGTCTGTCTCTCTCTCTGATAAATAAATAAAATCTTAAAAAAAAAAAAAATCCATGGAACCCATAAAATATTTATGTTATATCCAGGTTATAAATAACATCTGATTGTTCATTCAGTCCTTGAATAAACATTTATCTTCAGTGCCTGCACATATCTTGGCACATTATCTGCTCAGTTCTTGAATGATTTATGAAGTACCCACTTTATCTAGCAACACACCACAGCTGGAAGCAAAGGAGCAGCCGAGCCAAGGCACTCTCACTCTTAAGCACTTAAAATTCAGTGGTAGAGGGGCGCCTGGGTGGCTCAGTCGTTAAGCGTCCGCCTTCGGCTCAGGTCCTGATCCCAGGGTCCTGGGATCGAGCCCCGCATCGGGCTCCCTGCTCGGCCGGGAAGCCTGCTTCTCCCTCTTTCACTCCCCCTGCTCATGTTGTGTCTCTCTCTGTCAAAAAAATAAATAAAATCTTTAAAAAAAATTCAGTGGTAGAGATAGTTGTAAACACACAAAACAATTTTTTTTTTTTAGTTTTTGAGGTTTTTTGTTTGTTTGTTCTAGATTTCACTAACTTTATTCTATACTTCTCAAATCATGTAGCCCCCTCTAGAATGTCATCCTGGTTAATTTGTGTACAGCTGCTGATATGTATATTACAGACAACCGTAAGAGTTTGGCAGATAGAACGATGATTATTTTGTGTATTACCTTCCAACGTATGTGTGTTACAAAACATTGATTGTTTGCATTTTTTTCTCTGTGTGTGTGAAACAGGAGATTACATTAAGAGTGACTGCAAGGTGGTGCCTAAGTGCCCTCTCCATGCAGGTGGGATCCGAAAATGTTAATGCAGGAAGTGGCCTCATTTTATGGAGAAGAAACTTGGTTCCAGAGGGGTTGTGATGTCCCAGAATTGTACTATAAATTAATAACAAATTAGTAGTAGGGTGACCTTGAGCAATTCCCAAGCAATTGTCTAAGTCATGATGTTAAATGCCTGAGCCCTCAAACAATAGTTTTAATAAGGATTATATTGCCTTTTGTTGCTGAATGGATTTGATTCATAATTCTCATGTCAGCCCTGAAGGGTAGGTGATGTGTGTCCTTATTTTATAGACAAGGAGACTGGTGATCTGAGAGTTTTGACACAATCAGGGATTGGCAGAGTCACAACTCAAACCAGGGCCCTGGTGTTCCCAGTACCCATTTCTTGTACTTCCCAGTGTGTGAAACTTTGAGAGGTGTGTTCAAGAATGCAGTGGATTGAGAAATCCACTCAAGTACCAGATAAAATTATGGGTAGTATATACTCTAAATGGTGTATGTTTAGCTCTGTTTGTGAGAACACTTCTAAGGAGATAAACCTTGCAAATGTCACATTAAAACAAGTGCCTAAGAATGTCAATAAAACTACTATTTTAAGTGGTGCCAAGCATAATCTCAGGGAATATTCAACTGAGTTACATGGGAGCTATTTCAACTACATTGCTTAAATTGCATTTGTAGGAAGCTACTTATATAAGGTGCCTTCTTTTTGCATTTTTTGGAAAGGTGATTATTAAGGGTAGTAGAAGTTCCTCATGGTCCCAGTGTCTACTTACTCACCTACTGTATAGTTAAGTTGGTTTTAATATTATGTTTCAGAGCTTTAAGATAATTTTTGGAAATAATTTTGACATTTAATTGTACAGAAAACTTACTGTTAGAGGCTTACTTAATTATTGTGATTCTGGAAATAATTAGAAATGGGATCAGAATATAGAAACATTTTTTTTGGAGAGACACAGGAGAAAGTTAAATTTAGTAAGTGGCTATGAGTAAAAGGTTAGGTTAAGTTTTTTTATTATTTTTTTTGAGCAGCTTATAAATTGGCATTTTTGCATCTAGGTTCAAGTGACTTTCAATAATTTTCTGTTTATCTTGGCCAGAATCAAGAATTCTTTATTCTGTTTCTGAGAGCTGAGACTTTCTGTTTATTTCTTAGTAACAAATTAGACCCAATGATGTCTAACTCAAATTTTGTAAAGGGGGAGAATCCTTCACACAAAACAGTTTTTTTTTTTTTTAAATATTTTATTTATTTATTTGAGAGAGAGAGAATGAGAGAGAACACATGAGAGGGGATAGGGTTGGAGGGCAAAGCAGACTCCCTGCCAAGCAGGGAGCCCGATGCGGGACTCAATCCCGGGACTCCAGGATCATGACCTGAGCCGAAGGCAGTCGCTTAACCAACTGAGCCACCCAGGCGCCCCACACAAAACAGTTTTTAGTCTAGTACTGTATGTGGTTTAATTTTCCTTTACAGTTCTTATTAAAAAAAAAAGTTACTGAATATTCAGGCATACAAAAACTCCATAAATGATAATACAGCGAATGTGCATATACTACCAACTAGGTGAAGAAAAGCATTACTAATACCTTTGAAGCTTCATTTATGCCCCTTCTCAGTTAGTTCTCCTTTCTTCCTCTCCCCATTTCACCTCACCAACTAACCATCCTGATTTAGCCTATATTATTATCATTTATTTCCTACTGCTTTTATTCCACATATATATGCATCACAGCATAATGCTATATAAAGTCATGAACTCTAGTACCCTATGATTTTTTTATAAAGATTTTATTTATCTGAGAGAGAGAGAGAGAGAGCACGAGCAGGGGGAGGGGCAAAGGGAGAGGGAGAAGCAGGCTCCCTGCTGAGCAGGGAGACTGATTCAGGGCTCCATCCTAAGGACCCCAAGGTCATGACCTGAATGGAAGGTAGAATTATAGTGTTTATTTATTTATTTAGTAGAGAGAGGGGGAGGGGCAGAGGGAGAGGGAGAAAGAATCTCCAGTAGGCTCCCCACTGAGCACAGAGCAGACTCTGGCTCGATCCCATGACCCAGACATCATGACCTGAGCCAAAATCAAGAGTCAGATGCTCAACTGACTGAACCACCCAGATGCCCCAGTGTGTACATTTATAAGACTTAAATAAAAGTGTAAAAAACCTTAAAAACATTCTGAAAATATAATACTGCCCAGAAATGGATTTTGTTTTTCTTTCTGTAGTCACTATAAAGTTTTTCATCACTGTAATGTGAAATGTGTAGAAAGTGCCACAGTGAAGCTAGAATCAAATGTTTCTTGAGGAATTTCATCATTCATTAAATATTTATTAAGCATGTGTTATTTTAGATGTTGGAGATACAAAAAAGAGAAGACATTGTTCCTGTGCTCAAGAAGTTGATAATCTGGATGAGATTATGAGATACATAAAAAATAGGTAATGTCAAGTAATAAGGGCCAAATTATATGAATAAAGAGCTTTGTGAGCAGTAGGGCCAGGAGGCTGGGTAAGAATGGGAAAAATATGAAAGCTAGGGAAGGCCTCATATGAGAGAGGATAACTAACCAAGCTCTAAGAATGGGTTTTATTAGAAGGAATAGGATTTTTCACATATAGGAAGGTATTATGCATAGTGGTTAGAACACAGATTTTTGATTTGAGTGATTTGGTTTGGAATTGGCTTTATTGCTTACTCTGATTTCAAGATTCAGGATTACTTGAACTTGCTGAAGCATTTAACACAGTGCTGGGCACACACTGGACATTCCCAGAATGAAAGCTATGGTTACTACTATTATTCTTACTCATATTATTATTAAACCATAAGCAAAAGCAGAGCAGTATGAAAATAAAAAGCATTGTTTTCTGAGACTCACTTAATATGGCTCTGAGTAGGTTGTGTTTGTCAGGGGAATTATTTGGAGTGTTGAAAGTTAACAGCGGGAAAGTAGTGTAGTAGGTGATACGCTTGGTCTCTACCTCAACCCCCTCTGCTAGCTGATGTATCTCTCCCCCAGTCTCTGTTGTCTGCTCATCCCATCTAGCTGCCCCCTTCTTCAGAGTATTGGCCTTGGCCAAGGCAGCTGTCTTACTTAGGTGAGTTTTTCTCACTCAGTTCAGCCAATGATTGACAGATAAAGGGATACTGAAAGTCAGGCCTCTTGCCTCAAAGCAAAATCAACATGTGGTATAATTCAGGCTCCAGAGCATCCTGTGGGAGCTGAGCCCCTGAACCTACTTACTTTTTTCTCCCTGCTCAGTTCTGCTCTACTTACTCCTCTTCTGCTAAAACTCCCTTGTACAAGAATCCCTGTCCCAGTCTCTCAGTTTCTGTCTACTTTTATGGTCTCCAACCTAAGGTACTTTGGACTAGATTGGGAAAATTCTTGGATGTTTGGCTTAGAATTCCAGGTGCTGTCCTATTGCATTGGGAAGCCTAATGTATTTTAAAAGGATCACTTTAGTAAAAGAGTGGCATGGAAAGTGGCTAGAGGCCTAAGATGGGAGCTTTGACATAATTAAGGAGTGATAAATACCTCACTCATTTATCATTGATTAGGGTAGGGGAACATGAGATAGGAAAGTCATTTGTCGGGGTTGGGAAGAACTGAGAAGTCTTAGATAATTTGAATCTGTGGAGGAGGAATCAAAGAAGTTTCTAGATTGAGCGACAAGGCAAATAGTGAATCAGTAGTAACATCAACTATTTCAGATAGTTGAAAAAATAAGACTCCTAGAAAGACGTAGTTTTGGAGAAAGTTAATGAGTTCAGTTTTGACTCTTGAATTTAAAGTCATAGGTGCAATGTCATAGGTGCAAATGTTGAGGAAATTGTAGGAAATCCTTGTCTGCTGTACAGAAGGTGGGTTCACGTCAACAACATTAAGGTCATTGTTTAGGCTACAAGAGTTTGCAGGACCCAAGACAAAACATTGGGGATTCCATTTTGTCATTTAGAATGCTTTCAGCTACAAGTATAACAAAAATTTAAAACTGGTTTACGAGTAAAGGAGGTTTATTGGCTTCTGTATCTGAAAACCCAGTGATGGGGTGGGTTTCAGGTGTTTGGGTGAGGTTTCTGGTTTCGTTTTTCTGTGATTACTTTTGTTCTGCCACCTTCATGTGTCAGTTTTGTTCTAAGTTTTGTTTTTTTCAATGGAGGCAAAGTGACTCTGGTGATGCCAGGATTCCATCAGCAAGCTGCATATTCAGAAGGAGAGGGAGAGAATCTGTATTCCTTAATTCCCGGTAGAAGTGCTAAACTTGGAGCTGGTTGATCGTTTTTTTTTTTTTTTTTTTAAAGATTTTATTTATTTATTTGACAGAGAGAGAGATCACGAGACCAGGAACACAAGCAGGGGGAGTGGGAGAGGGAGAAGCAGACTCCCCGCGGAGCAGGGAGCCCGATGTGGGACTCGATCCCAGGACCCTGGGATCATGACCTGAGCCGAAGGCAGACGCTCAACGACTGAGCCACCCAGGTGCCCTGGTTGATTGGTTTTGAGGGGGGAGCACTGTTACAAAGAGAAGGGTTTTCTGATTGGTTACAATCAGTCAGGACTGGAGATCGGATAGGTTAGGTCCATCTAAAGAGCGTGACTGTCATACTGGGTGGAGGGGTGGAGTGAGTGTTTGGGATAAAAGCACAAAATTCACTCTAATTATCTTACATATGAGAGACAGATAGGGAAAAAGAGCCAGTGACACAGGAAAATGGTGAGAGAGATGGGAGAAGAGTCCTAGAGAAAAGTACTTTCTTAGCTCAGAGTGGGAAGGGTTTTGAAGAGGAAGGACTAAAACTGTCAGTTCAGATAGCCATTGGATTTGATAGGTGGCCATTGGTGACCCGAGAACAGCGTCTCTAGCCTGCAGGGGTAGAATTTAGATGGTTGTGTGATGGGCAGTGATATGGAAGCAGTAAGTGTGTGTGTGTGTGTGTGTGTATTTAAAGAAATTAAGGGGTAAATAGAAGGTGGTAGTTTTAGAAAGAACTGGATTAAGGGAGGCTAAAAAGTAAATGTAAAAAATGATTATGGGAGACTTTCATTCATGTTTGGGGGTTTAAGTCAGATGGCTTCAGTCTGTGCTCTGGCTGTAGAGACGACTTCTTGAGGGTCCCTGGACTTAGTGTTTGGTCAGGCTCTGAGAAGTAATGGTCATGATGAACATTTCACAGGAAAGCTGATAGGGTCAAGCGAGATAATATATAAAAGAGGTTTGTCAACTGAACTGTTATACAAATATTAGTTGGTAGTAAGCACATTATTTATTTAAACCCTATCTTCTTGTGAAAGAATGTCACGCACTGTGGAACTACCAGTATGTAGAGTCGAAAGGTCTGAAAGTTAGGAGCGGGGACAGAGGAGAGAGAGAGGATGTGAAGGAATGGATTAATAAAATGTGGTCCCAGTCCAGAAGTGGTTATTCCTTTGAACATGGCTACATGACAGCAAAGCAGAAAGCCCTTAGGGTTTACATAATTTTTTTGGCAGTATTTTGTGTGGCCCAAAAAGAGGACCCCTTGCTGATTTGCATGTATGCCATTTCAGTTTCTTTGGAACGAAGAGAAAGGAACACAATACAAATGTTTATTGTTTAGGTGGTCAGGATGACTTTTATTTGATGTTGCAAAATTTAGTGATAATAATAATAAATGTTTAATAGCAGTAGATGCTGTCAGTTTATATGTCATTAGGTATGTGACTGATCTTGGCTTAGACTCTAAAAGCCAGGGCTTTTAGCCAAATAGTCTAAATAATTTAAAAATTCTTGGATCATACATTCTTTTTTTTTCATACATTATTGTTGAAGGTGGTAGACCTTTTGAAGTCATTAAATATAATTTTATTCTTATACATTTCTGTTCCTTAGGTTGAACAGTGTCGCTTTCTTCATTTTAAGCTCTCTGATGTTTTGAAGTAAAGCAGGGAGAGTAAGAAACAGGTGCCTGTCTTGGAAGGTGATAGTGAAGGTCAAGTGAGCTACAGAACTTAGAATGGTGTCAGGCATAGTTAATGTTAGTGGCTATAATATTCGTTTCTGACACATATGAGAAAGCATTAAGTGAATGGGTACTTCAACATGAAACAGTTGAAAAAATCGGGGGATTTACTTTTGAATCAATTAAGAGAATGTAAATTGTTTCCTTAACTACAACTCAGATTCCATGCTGGTTTCCATCGTGGGGATGGCCCTGTACACGGGATATGTCTTCATGCCTCAGCACATCATGGCAATCCTGCACTACTTTGAGATTGTGCAATGACCAAGATGTGACCAGAACTGAGCGGCTCCTTGGGGAAGAACCACCCTCTGAAGATGGAATGAAACCTCATCAGCTGTCATAAGAAACTCTACTAGATGTCAACATAACCAACCCTATGAATATAAAGACTAAAATTCATGAGTAGAACAGGAAAATACTCCTGACTCATGTGTTGTGTTCTTTATTTTTAATTTTAAAAGAGGCTCTTATATAGTAGTTTTTGTCTATTTTAACATTGTAATCATTTGTACTTTGATATCAGTATTTTCTTAACCTTTGTGACTGTTTCAATATTACCCTGTGAAAGCTTTTCTTAATGTAATTTTGAGTACATTTTAATTGCCTTCTATTTCTAAAACCCAAAGTCATTAGTTGGGCTTTACTGTTCTTGCTATTGTATGGCACATACATCTGCCTGGATATATTTCTACTCTTGACCAAAGTTTTGTAAGAAACAATACAAGATTTGGGGCAGGGGGATGGGGAGGGGAGGATATTTTATTGAGAACTATTTACAAAAGACTATCTGTAAGTTTGAACTCAGGAGTACAGTTTTAGCTATCTAGACTCTACTCTTAACAGCTTTTGCTTTAAAACTATTTAAGTATTTCTTAACAATGAAAAAGAAAGATCTTGCTAAAGTTAAAATAAGGAACATTTCACCTTTTAAATATTTAATTCTTATGTGGACTCATTTCCAGAAAACTTTGGTGATGGTTCTTATGACAAAAGGTGGTTAAATAGCATTATTATGTAATGCTTATATACCATAGAGTTTTTAGTAGAAAGTAAATCAGTTTCCTCTGAGGGTTATTAGTAACAATGTACTTCCTTAAATTTAGTTTTCATGATTGTAATGGGTGCTGCAAATGCATATGCACATTGCAATAAGATGAGATGAATTGTTAAAAACTATAGCAAAAAGAAATGTAAACTTGGTTAAAATCCTTTCACTCTTTGTATTTTTTTTTAAAGATTTTTATTCCTTAAATGTAAAATACCTAATTTTTTGATGTAAACTCATTAAATTCAAAGAAAAATCAGCTGATGTAGTGGTATATTTTTTCCTCGATTGTTAAATATTGATCTAGTATTTAAATTTCTGAATTGATTGCTGTGGATAAGTAAGCAGTTAAGTATATTTTAACATGTCTCTCAACATAAAAGTATTGCTAATTAAAAAAACTAGACCTATTTTAACATGCCTCCCGTAATAAGTTTTGCTTTTTAAAAAATATTAAAAAGTATTTTTGGCTCTTAACTTTTTTTAATTGTTATGTTAATCCCCATACATTACATCATTAGTTTTAGATGTAGTGTTCCATGATTCATTGTTTGTGCATAACACCCAGTGCTCCATGCAGAACGTGCCCTCCTCAATACCCATCACCAGGCTAACCCATCCTCCCACCTCCCTCCCCTCTAGAACCCTCAGTTTGTTTTTCAGAGTCCATCATCTCTCATGGTTCGTCTACCCCTCCGATTTCCCCCCCTTCATTCTTCCCCTCCTGCTATCTTCTTCTTCTTTTTTTTTTTTCCTTAACATATATTGCATTATTTGTTTCAGAGGTACAGATCTGAGATTCAACAGTCTTGCACAATTCACAGCGCTTACCAGAGCACATACCCTCCCCAGTGTCTATCACCCAGTCACCCCATCCCTCCCACCCCACCCTTGGCACTTAACTTTTAAGAACTAGCCTTTTGAAGTGTTTTTTAGTCTAGAGGTATGAAGTAATATATAAAAGTTTGGTATTTTCAGAGTCAATTTATATCATCACTATTAAATAGGGATGGTGAGGATAATTTGTAATTATTTAGTTTTAGTATTCAAGCAAATTAATGAATACGAGGAATTAACTTTGAATTTGTTCAATTAATGCTCAAATTTGACTTTGCCCCAGGGACCCCCCCATAGAGAACCATTGATAAGTGGATGTCTAATATCTGAATCTCTGGTGAGTTGAAGGCAGGAAAAGTTGGGAATCACTAGTTTAGATGGGTATACAGATGACCTATCCTAGCCCTCTACTCAGAAATCTTTAATTCATCCCCACTCTTCTCTGAAATCCATTCAATTGCTGTTGAATAGGCTGGCCTGTGAGATAGATGGAAGAGAAGTTTAGCTGTACAGAGAATCTTGAGAGTCAGAAAGAGAACTAGGAACAGGTCTATTAAATGGAAGGCTATTTAATAAGAGAGTGTCTCCTTCTGGAGCAAAGGACATTATAAAAGATTTGGGTTCCCTGTGCTCAGGGTTCCTTCCTGAAATGCCACCCTCTGCATGTATACATATCAGCTGGCCTTTCCTTGGATTGTTCTATTGGAACTGGGGCTTGGGGACCAGAACAGGACAGTGATACTTTGGCTGTTGCTGTGAGTAATAAAGTCCTTTGTGTCCAACCCTAGAATCTCCAGTCTTCTGCCAGCACCCACAGAACTTGGCCAGACTAACTTGTTAGCTTGCAAGTAGGGTGAAGTCTCAGACCCTTCACAGTTCTTGACAGTTTGGGAGATGAGCATAGGATGCTGACAGAGACATGGTCTCTGGAAGAGGAAGGGTAATGGCCCCACAGGCCAGACTGAGGGTGGAGACTACTTGTGATCCTGTAGTAAATGCTGTTTCCCAAGTATGGGGTGGGTTATGGGAATAAGGGTCCCCCACTATCCTACCTGTTAATTAATGAGTAGAGTCTGAGTAGTGAGAAGTAGGATTGAAACAAGCTGCCTAAAAGGTGCCTTTGTCGCTGGGCAGGTGGAAGAAGGAATCATAGGGTAATGGGACAACTCTAAAGACAATGTAGCTGTGGTTGCTCAGCAAAAGAATCTAAAAAATGGAAATAAATGGCCTCAGCAGTGAGGGACATTTTGCTTAGTAAAGACCTGAAAGCATTAGAAGTTCATTCAGGTGAGCCATGGACGAGTGCCCCTAAAATTGAACGCAAAGCCTTGCATATTGGCTTAGAGCTGCTTGCTCTCTCCGTGACCCTCTTCTCCCTTCTCTGCTACCCTGACTTCAGTTTCATTAAGGAGAAAGATGATGAAGGCTGGTTGGCCAGGTTATTCACGAGAACCATCTGTTTTATTCTGTCCTCAATGAGAGAAGGCTAGGTTAGTAGTCGGTGAGAAAAATAGGATAACTTGGACCAGGGTGGTGGCGCTGGAGGTAGGAATCACAGGATATGGTGACTAATTAGATATAGATGGTGATGGGAAGGAGAGAGGCCAGACTTCTGTCTTGAGCCACTTGGTAAATGGTGACATTCACTAATACAGCGACTGGGGGGGGGGGGGAAGGGATCAGAGATAGGGTGATCATGCAAGAATTAAGTGGGTTGCAGTTGGTAAATGACTTTGTAAGCCATATTAAGGAGTATGGACACTCTCCCTAGAGCAGTGGGGAGTCACTGAAGAGTTTTAAGTGAATGAGTGTTATCAGCTAGGCATTTTAGAAAAGTGGTGAGGTTGAACATGGATTGGAGGGGATAAAAACTCTGGTAGGAGGGCTATTCAGGAGGCTGTTAGGGTAATTCAGGCAATGCATGGATAGAAGTGGATAAATTGAGAGATACCAATTCGAGAAGAGAGAAAATTAAAGATAGAGGAGAGATGGACGTCATGGTTGCTGACCAGATTTTTGGCTGACTCAGTTGAATGGTTAGTGGTTCCATTCATTAAAAACTAAAGTGATGAGTGAGTTTGGCATGGGAGGAAATGATTTTAGTTTTTGGTATGTTGAGTTTGATGTTAGTGAAATACTTGAGTGGAGATATTAGTAGATGAATATGGAGATATGATAATCAGGAAATGGATCTGGGCTGAAGCTATATATAGGTATAGATATGTAAATAGATAGAGATGTCAATATGTATCATATATATATTTGCCTGTCTTGGATAGATGATGATTGAAAAGGATCATCCCTTGGAAAGGATGAAAGTTCCTAGGAAGAGCATAGAAAGCAGAGGTTCATAATCTGGTGCCTAAGCCTATTAAAGCTCTTGAAAGTATATGCAAAATTATATGTAAATTTTCTGAGGAACTTTCCCATTACTTTAATCAGATTTTCAAAGTCTTTACTGACTTGAAAGGATTAAGACCCATTGTCATAATGTGTTTACTTTTTTTCCCAATGGACATGAATTAATTAGTAATTAAAAAACCTATGGTACTATAAGCTAGATTGGAACATGACAAAAAAGGGGAAAACTGGCAAAATCTATAAAAAAGGGTTTACTTTCCTAATCTACAAAAATGTTTTAGAAATCAATAAGGAATAGAATTCCATAACCCCTTATCGAAAATCCCTGGGAATATAAATATTTTGTTTTTGGAGTATTTAGGAAGGTAAATGGTATATATTATTTAATATTCCCAGGGCAGTATTTGGCTTAGCAAATACATTTTTAAAAAGATTTTATTTATTTATTTGAGAGAGAGAGATCACAAGCAGGGGGAGGGGCAGAGGAAGAGGGAGAACAGCAGGGAGCCAGACGAAGGGCTCAATCCCAGGACCCTGGGATCATGACCTGAGCTGAAAGTAGATGCTTCACTGACTGAGCCACCCAGGAGCGCCACCCCCCCTTCTTAAATTAAAGATTTTATTTTCAAGTAATCTCCACACCCAGTGTGGGGCTTGAACTCACAACCCTAAGATCAAGAGTCACATGCCCCACCAACTGAACCAGCCGAGTCACATGCCGGGCGCCTGGGTGGCTCAGTTGGTTGGGCGACTGCCTTCGGCTCGGGTCATGATCCCGGAGTCCTGGAATCGAGTCCCGCATCGGGCTCCCGGCTCGGCGGGGAGCCTGCTTCTCCCTCTGACCCTATCCCCTCTCATGCTGTTTCTCTCTCTCTTTCTCAAATAAATAAATAAAATCTTAAAAAAAAAAAAAAAAGAGTCACATGCCCCACCAACTGAAACAGCCAGGTGCCCCCATAAGCCTTTTCTTCTGACTCTCACCCAACTCCAACTCCCTTCCCCAGCCTTCTTTCCACCTCAGGGCTCAGGGTGTTTACCTAGGCTCTTTCCTCCACCTGGAGGGTGCCTCCCCATCCTCCTTCTAGAATTTCTCTTGTCTACCCAGTACAGGCATCTCTTCCTCAGGGAAGCTCTATGACACTCCAGACCAAGGGAAGGGCCCTGGGACTCAGGGTCACTTAGCACACTTCAGTGATTTCTGTTATAAGTCATCTCTTTCCTATAGTCTATAAAAAGTGTGAGAGTAGGTCTTGTGTCTGTCTTGTTCTTTTCTATTTCAATATCTGTAAGTATAACTGGGATGAAGAAACTTATGTTTTAAAGATACGAACATTTCTTTTTCCCCTAGTTCCTATTCCATGAAGTGGAACCACATTCCCCTTCCTCTTTAAAATTTTAGTAACAGATTCTATAATGGATACTTAAAGACTATGCTTTTGAAAAAGCAAGACCCATTAAAAATAGAAGTACCTTTATTTTTTTCCCCTAAGTATACCAACAATAGAAATCTGCTGGACAAAATTTCAGTAAAATTGGATGGCACTTATCACATTTTGTTAAAATCATCATATGCTATTATCATCAGTACTTATTGTTGAGAATCTCTGTGCAAGTGCTTTACATGCAGAATCCTTAAACTCATACTGTGTGGTTGGCATCATCTCTATCTTACAGATAAGGAAAGTGAGGTTCGTAGAGACTTTCTTTTTTTTTTTAATTTTTTTTTTTTAAGATTTTATTTATTTGAGAGAGAGAGAATGAGAGACAGAGAGCATGAGAGGGAGGAGGGTCAGAGGGAGAAGCAGACTCCCCACTGAGCAGGGAGCCCGATGCGGGACTTGATCCCGGGACTCCAGGATCATGACCTGAGCCGAAGGCAGTCGCTTAACCGACTGAGCCACCCAGGTGCCCCTCATAGAGACTTTCAAAGGTCACACACTAATAAGTGATGGGTGTGTGTGTGTGTGTGTGTGTGTGTGTGTGTCTGCAGATTTATGCCCAGGGCTGTTAGGCTAGAAACTCTGTGTGCCTCCCCCTGTCAAGGGGTTCCGCACCAGGATG